CCATTTATTGATTACGTAATTTTAATAGTGATGTAATCTCTCTATGCCTCGGTTTCCTCTTCCATAAACTGGAAATAACAATAGCGCTTGAGCAAGCCCGTAAAACAAGAACACAAGAAGCATTGTTTAAATGTCGGCTGTCACAATTTTATTATTTCATTTCAAAAATCCTTACATTCTGAAGAAAGACATACAGTGATACATAGGTGAACTCTACCTCGTCCAATTTTTGTCTAGATTATCAGATTCTTATCTTTAAAACATGAATTATCTGAATGATTGTGGTTTTTTCCCCATCATATAAGCTGAAGGAACAGAAAGAAGCTAACCAAAAACAATAAAACAAAGAAAAACAGAGAATGAATCAGTGTTAGCAAAAGAGAAGAGCCTGGGGGAGCATCGGGAAGGCTGCCAAATAGATCTATTAAGTAAAAGAGAGACAAGGAGAAAACCAACAGTTAAAATTAATTAAAAGTTTTTACTTGTGATGCTGACCTCATGCTCCAGGTGCCTGAAACAAAGAAATGTGGATAATTGGGTAGTCATAACATCGCTCCAACGGCCACGTTCCGCTTAACAAGAGCAAGCCTGTCTCTCCCACCTGGCCCTCCTGGGCTGCTTGGGTCAGGACCTGAATCATGGTTCAGGTTCCTCTGCGCTGGAAAGAGAGGACCCCGAGGCCTGATGAACAGCTATCCAGACCCTCTCCCTCAGCCTCCTCTGGCAGCACATCCCGCTGACTACGCTTGCAGAGGCTCCATCCTGGTTCTCCGCCCTTCTCCCCTATTGCCAGCCTCCATTTCCACCTGGAATGCTACAGTGGCTGCTAAATGGTCCCCTCATTTCCACTCATATTTATCATTCTCTGAATTGCCCCGTCATGACTTTTCTACTCATTTTTCACTTGTTTCCCCTACTAGCCTATAAACTTCTTGTTCACTAGTGGCTGGCCAATGCATGGCCCAATCAATATTTCTTGATCGAATGGAAGGAGCTATGAATAGTTGTCTTCTCAAGCAAAAGACATTTTCTCTCCCAAAGGGAATTCCACTCTGTAGATACGAAAGTGGGTCCCTTGTAGGATTACTGGGCAACATTTTGCTAACCGCATTCAAATGATAAGACTTCAAACTTATAAAAGGTATTTATACTCTTCTTTTTTTTTTTTCCTTTATTTAATGAGGAAGATCAGCCCTGAGCTAACATCCCTGCTAATCCTCCTCTTTTTGCTGAGGAAGACGGGCCCTGAGCTAACATCTATTGCCAATTTTCCTCCTTTTCTTTTTTTTCCCCTTTTTCTCCCCAAAGCCCTAGTAGATAGTTGTATGTCATAGCTGCACATCTTTCTAGTTGCTGTATGTGGGACTCCGCCTCAGCATGGCCGGACGTGTGGTGAGTCGGTGTGCGCCTAGGATCCGAAACCTGGGCCGCCAGTAGTGGAGCGTGCGCACTTAACCACTGAGCCACGGGGCTGGCCCCATACTCTTCTTTTTAATACACATTTTAATACAAATACTGTCATTTGTATTTTTCACACCCAGGAACTGAAGCAAAGAGTGAAACAGTCCCAAATCGGCCTGACCCACTCACTCATGGTGACTCTGGAGGTCGAGCCCCCCACCCCATTCTCAGCAATTGTATTCAGCTGCTCTTTTCCCACCTGACCGTGCTCAGCCTGGAATCTGCTTTTGCATGTTCTGCTTCCCTGGTATCGACTCTTGGGCTCTGAGGAATAAGGCTTGCCGTCACTCTCGCTGTCACATTCGTGACCACCTTGGGAAATGTAACTCGGGTCATCTCGCAGGGTCGAGAGCCGCCGTCGGGAGGGGGCCCGGGCTGTTTACTGTGGGAGGTAGCTCTGTTTTGGAGCACTTGGTCCTCCCCTCTCCCTCCTGCCACCGCTGATCGGATTGGGGGTGGCGGTCACTCAGTGCAAAGGCTGGCCGGCACACGGCCCGGCGCGGCCCAGGAAGCTCCCGCCGAGGAGAGGAGCCCGTCGTGTCCCACCCCTTCCCCGCAGCGTGACCTGGGAACGCGGACAGAATCGCATGGGCAGCAGACGTTGGAAGGTCGTGAAAAAGGGAGAAGCCTGTGGGACCGGAAGCAAATCGGCGTTTTGAGGAATCGGAAGCAGAGGCACTGAGCGGAAGAGGGATGCACAGTGAGGGCCAGGGGGCCACCGAGGCGGAAGAGACGGGACACACGCAGAGGGCAGCGGAGACCCCCGAGCGGCCGAGTGGAGGGAGGGTGGAGCTAGAGGGACTCGGCAGCGGGGGCTCCTGGAGCACCTGGAGCACCGTGGTGAGTGCCTTGAGTTCTCAAAGACCTGCCCGTCCCAGCCTCCGCCGGCCCGGGTGCGCGCCGATTCCCTGAGATGCCGCCTCCCTCGTGGTGCCACAGTAAACCCTCGTTGCGTGAGCCACCCTGAGGGGCTCACCGTTTTTTATGGCTCACGAGCCAACATAATAAAAGGAACCACTGTCAGCGCGCTGGGGCCAGCCAGCGTGGGCTGCCCCCGCTGGGCCCTGTGTGTGGGAGCACGGCCGCGTGTCCGCCAGCTCTCCGGGCGCTCACTCCTCTGCTCAAAGGCTCCGTTCGTATCCATAGGGTGGTTCCCTGTCTCAAGGATCTAGGCTCCAGTTTCTTCTTTTCCATGTATCCCCCAATTTTTATATGTTTATATACATTTTATAAAAATATCTATAACTATTGATAAATACATGAAAAGCAATAGGACATATTGGAGGATATGAGGAAGCCATTTGGTTTAAAACTAACTCAGTCTAACCTTGTTTTTCCAAAAGGGCCTGACGTGGCCTGTTGAGCATGCATTGTATGTCTGCTTTAAACATTTACAATGTCCCAAACACAAGATTGATGCCCTTAAAGACAGGGATGTAACTTCCCCCCATATCGGCATTTCTTTAAGGATAAACATCTCTTCCTGGGAACTAAGGATCAATTACCCACCTGCTTGCTCACCTTATGACCTCTGACCTGCTGACCACCGACGTGCTGTGCCAGCTAAGCATCTCGTGACAGTAGTAAAAGAGACATTCCTGTCATATGTGAGGTACGCTCTTTGTTCCAAGATGGTATACAACCACTCTGTACAGCCCACTGGTTTGGTGCCCTTCCTTTGGGGAAGGAAGGCCCCAGGCTATATAGTCCTCAAACCTGGCTCATAATAAACACCCCAATTTTGATTTATAAATTGATTATGGGTTATTTGCATCAACATATTATATATAATATAATTACAGATACAATAGAATTATAACTTAGATGGGGGTTAGAGTCTACAGTGTGTGTTAGGCTAAGTTGTGTATAGTCCAAATTGTGCCTGAGAGCCCTTTAAAGCACCTATAGAGCACGTATATATATGATTTCGGGTGTATAACTACAACTTTGTATGGTAATAGTAAGTATAAATGCAAGGAAATATCAGACCCTTCCTGTAAAACTCTTGCTGAAATATCTGCAAATGAGAAAAAACAGAGCCTGGTTCCCACCTCCTGCCAAATATTCAAAGTGGCAAAATTGTGACCACAACTTGCAAAGACTTTTCCCATCCCAAATGGCAACTGGTTAATTCCTCCCGGCAAATGAATTGTGCCATTCCCCTTAAGTCAGATGTCCTCTGAGATTAATTTAATTGGAACCCTCATGACTTTCCAAAGATTTGAGGTAGTTCTAATAATTGGCACATATATAATAACTCCATTAAAATAGAAAACAAAAAAAAAGTCATAGAAAGAGGGAAATTAATTACCTAAAAAAGTGAGCTGATATAATTCCTATAGTGGACAACTGACCTCTGAGCTTCCTGGAAGTCAAGGGAAAAAGGGAAAATCCTGTATAAGAATTCTCATTGTTTAATCAAGATAAATCAAAAGAGAGAGGTTTTCTCTTGGCACTATTTTAAAAAATTAAAAGTCACTCATAATTTCACATAGTGATGAAATAGTGTTATTTTTGCTTGTATACTCTATAGTCCAGTCCTTTGCAAACAAAATAATAGATAATTTTTTTAAAAAAAATATTTGAATAGGCAAAACATCCACATAGTTTAAAAAAAAGTGTGAAAAGTATGCAGTAAAAAAGTTTCCCTCCCATTCTTGTCATACATTTGCCTGGTTTCAACCCCCCTCAACCCCCATTTTTGTATCCTTCTAGTTTTTATGCATATTCAATAACAACATCAGCATCATCAACAACCATAAATAGAGATTCCTATGCCCGCCCCCTTCTTATACTTTAATTTCTTTCATTTAAGGACGAATTTTGCAGACTTTTCCATATCAGTAGGAAGGTTTCCTCATTCTCAGAGCAACAGGGCATCTCGTTGTTTGGCTGTACTGTTGCTTATTTAACCAGTGCCCCACTGGTATCATTTGGTTGTTTCCATTTTTTTGCTATTATAAACAAAGCTAGGGAGAATAACCGTACATGTACGTAATTTCACACATGTGCAGGTGTATATATATATATAGGATAAATCCCTGAAGCAGACTGCTGGCTCAGGGGTAAATGCATTTGTGAATTTGATTACTCTCACCAAATTGCCCGCCACAGGGGTTTTGGGAACTTATGCTTCTACCAGCAGTGTCAAGTCAGAGGGTTGAGTTGCCACGTAATGTCTACACTCTCCGGAACCAGTATCCTCCTGCTAAGTTCCAGGGAGGAAGGACGAGGACTGTGAGAAGGGAAGAACTGTTTATCAGGCACCTACTGTATGCCAGACACACCGTATATACACACATTTGATCCTCACTGTAGTGCTGTGGGGCAAAGTTTGTGTCCCTGATTTTTGTGAATGAAGCAATTTTGTCTCAAAGAGGTTAAGGAAATTTGCACGACCTCTCGGGTAAGTGGGAGAGAAGGGTCCAGACCCCGTGGCTGGCTCTGAAGCCTATGTTGGTTCCGGTGGCACGAGTCCTGGTGTTCTCCTGACGTGGTTCCGTAAACCAGCAGTGGCGCCAACAGTGCTCTTAGCATCCCAACTCTTTTATTTTCTTGCCTCCTTTGAACTTCAAGTGTCACAGCTCACGGCTCTGTGAGGAGCCCCTGGCAATTCTTTCCTGCCGTCCACTTGGCCTCCTCCCTGGGTCCCAGCCCCAGCCCCTCACAAGTGATTATTGAAGGTGGAACAGGGTTCCTCCGAGTGCCCCTCTCCCAGAAAGGCATCTAGCCACTCCTCCAGGTCCTGTACCAGCTGCTCCAGCTCTCGCACCTCCTTCTCTAGCTTCTCCAAGAAAACGTGCAAGTTCTCCTTCAACCACGTCCTCATGACCTTTACCGGCTCTTCTGAGGGTTCGTTGGTCTGGTATTCAAACCTCTGAAAGGCGGACACCAAAGTTGCATCTTAGCTTTTTCACGTAAGACCCCTTTGTCACCAGTTTCAAAAAGTTCCCTGAGCCTTTGCACACGCTGTTCCTGCAGTCTGGAGTACCCTTCCCCACCTTCTCCACCTGGCCAGCTCCTACTTGTCCTTCAAGACCAGCTTGCTGGCCTTCCCAGATTTCCTCAGCCAAGCTTGACGTTCCCTCAGAACATTTCTGAATATGTTACCTGAGAAGCCACAGGATTCTGGGGGTAGTTACATCCTCTGATCCCTTCTAATACCTCCCAACTTCTTCCTGAAACAGGCAGAAACACACCACTTAATGGCAAATGAGCGGCAGTTGAAATCAACATGGTTGGCCATCCCAGTGGGATGAACCGGGGTAGGAGAAGGGGAGCTGTGGAGGCCCCGGAGCATGTAAGCATCTTCAGAATACGTCTCCTGACTCCGTGTGGACCCAGCTGCTCCTGTCTCAGGTTCCAGGATGCTCACCTGATATTCCTGTGCTCACGTACAGCACCAGGACCAGCAACGCCAACAGCGTCTGGGGGCGAGAAGAGGAGGAGAGTGTGGATTCCTGGGGGCAGACGGGCGACCCTGTTTCCTTCACAGAGGGCTAGGCATTGGGGTGCGAGAAGATTGTTTTTTAGAGCTTAACTTTTTTCTAGTTCTCTAAGTCATGCGTGCTTACTTACTACAAAACCCCCAAGCACTGCAGAAATACATAACATGGCAACTTACTGGCATTTCGCTGGTGTTTTCCCTCCTTTCTCCCTACTGAGAAGCAAGGCCGACCTCTGTTCTCATTCCTTTTAAATTTTTTGTTTTAAATGATCTTTAAAAGGAATCAATTTTATTGTGGCATAATTTACGAACAATAAAATACACACATTTTAAATGTACAGTTTGGTGAGTTTTACAAATGTCTATGCCTGTGGACTACCACCCCAATCAAGATATAGACATTTTCATCATCCTAAAAAGTTCCCTTATGTCCTCTGCAGTCAATTCCCTCCTTCCCCGACCCTGCCAGAGGGAACCGCTAATCTGCGTTCTGTCCCTAGCGAGTAGGTGTGCCTGTTATATAACCTCATATAAATGGAGCTGCAGAGCATGGCTTCTTTTGTGATTAGCTGCTTTGGCTCAGCGTAACGCTGCTGAGATGTCTGCGTGTTTTTTGTGTTCAGTGTTATTGATGAGTAATATTATATTGTACGAATACAGCGCAATTAATGTCTTCACCTGTTGATGGACTTTTGGGTTCTTTCTACTCTCAGCAACTTTCAAATATACAATGCGGTATTATTCACGATAGTCACCATGCTGTACATTACATCCCCAGCCTCACAGGGTTTTGATGGAGCAAAGGGGCTCCTGAAGACACCATCACTCCCTGGTGCTCAGGACGATCCAAGATCATTTAGGAGATTCTGACGCATGTCCCAGGATCGGAGGGGAGAAAGGCGAGTGCCTTTTAGAGACATGGGAGAAGAAAGTGGGGGAGTCTGAGTCTTGGAAGGGCCCGGCACCCACTACTGGTGGCCCCATGATGTGCCTGGGCAGGTGCAGGGGACTCAGACACACCTGCTTCTAACAGACTATGTGAACTGGGACAGTGACAGTGTCAGGGGCAAGCAAAAGTGGACAGAAGATTAAGGGGGACATAGTATTGACTGACACTGAATTTTCCCCAAATTCACCAGAAGTGGGCTGAGCCAGATTTACTTTGACTTGAAATCATACACTTCTTACGTACCTGAGTTTGTGAAGCAAGATTTCGAGCTGCTACCACAACATAGAAGATAAAAGATTTGCATACTTTGCCTCTCCCCAGATTGTTTTCTTTACATACGCCAGCAACTCTATTATTACTAACTTTAAAAAGAAATAAATTACATGGCAACAATGTGGCTGCATCTCACAGGCACACTGATGAGTGACAGAAGCCAGATGCAAAGGTGCACTCTGTCCATTCCATTCCATGAAATTCAAGAACACGTAAAACTCATCCAAGTAAATAAAAATCAGAATTGTGGTTGTGGGTTGGGGAGCGAGCTGGGAGGGGACCCGAAGGAGCCTTCTAGGGAGACTGGAAATATTCTATAGCTGGATCTGGGTGGCGACTGCCCAGGTGTTTTACACCCAATGTGAAGGTCATTGCACTGTACACCTAAGATTAAGGCGCTCTTTCTTTTTTTGACAATGTTCCTTGGGAATCTTTTCATGTAAGACACACAGAACCAGCCCATTCTTTACAACGGCTGTTGAGCATTCTGTGATCTGAATGCTTTTCTATCTTTACCCACTCCTCTGCCCACGCCCTTTACAGGTTGATTTCTTCACCACCACGCTTGCTGCTAGGTTTCTGTTTTGGGCTCTGTGGAGGCAAATGGGGAACAAGGACTAGGATTAAGTTTTAATCTTTCTCCTTGTGCTGTCTTGGGGCATAAGCCAAATCATTTCTTCTCTCTGAGCCTCAGTTTCTTCATCTGTAAAATGGGTTTTGAAATATGCTGAAAGGTCTTTCAAAAAGGAAAGATGGGACTCTGCAGTCGAATCGATTTGGGAAATGCTGTGGTAAACAGAGTTAAGCAGATCTCCTTGCTGCAGGACTTCTCAGAGCCTTCATTACGGGAGTGAGCAGTATAAATCTGCAAGGGGGGATGAGGGGATCAGCGTTCCCTAAACCACAGAACTCTTTTTATGATTTTTCTAGAAGGAGCATGACTGGGGTTTAGTGTTTTTTTTTTTTTTTTTGAGGAAGATTGGCCTTGCGCTAACATCTGTTGTCAATCCGCCTCTTTTTTCTTTTTCCTCCCCGAAGCCCCAGGACATGGTTGTATATCATAGTCGTAGAGTTGTAGCTCCTCTATGTGGGACGCCCCCTCAGCATGGCTTGATGAGCAGGGAGTAGGTCGGTGCCCAGGATCAGAACCGGCGAACCACGGGCCGCAGAAGCAGAATGCACCAACTTAACCACTACGCCACCGGGCCGGCTCCTGGGGTTTGGTGTTTGTGGAACACTTTAGGAAAAGCTGTAGGGTGGTGGGAGCCCCTCAAGGCCCCCATCTTGCTATGAGGTCCAGCATAAAGGAGGCACTGGGCACAGTATATTAAATGAATGAGTGAACAAATCTTTTGAAAATGTGTACAGATCAGTCATCCGTTGCTCTGCTTAAAGCCCTTCAGTGGCTTCTCATTACCTTCAGAGATGACCCAGCTGACCTTCCCAGCCTCCCTTTATGCCCCTCCGGCATTTCTCCACCTGGGAGGCAGTGGAGTGTGGGGTAACTGCCTGGAAAAGTGTTTTGAATCAGATGGACCTGGTTTCAAATACCAGTATGTCCCGGCTGTATGGCCCTTTTGCCTTTCTGAGCCTCAGTTTACCCATCTGTGAATGAGATTGATAACAGCTGCTTCTCCGGAGTGCTGTCAATCGGGAAAGAGAGGGGGTGGAAGCACGAGGCCGGGCCCAGAAACTGTTCCTGTCTTCTGCTGTCATAGAATCCCACATGAGGTTTGAATTTCAGCCCTGAGAGCAAGTGCTCTAGGAGCTCTCCAATTCAGGTGTGTTTTCCTATATATTTCAGTTCATTCGTTCATTCATTCTTTCGCTCATTCAGTACCTGTTATGCACCAAGCACCATTCTGGGCCTTAGGGATGTTACAGGAAACTAAACAAAGAGCCCAGCCCTCCCAGAGCGCACCTTCTGCTGCAGTGATGAGAGTTAACTAAGAGGGTCAGTAACGGCTTCTGGAAGAATTGCCTGAGCCCCCGTGCTGTGTTCCACCCGGCGGGGCTCCAGGGACAGTCGGGCTGAAGTCCCGTGTTGGACTCTGAGGCCTTGCCGTCTGTCTGGAGAGGCAGAGGGCGCCCCGACGGAGGCAGGCAGCGCACCGGGTCTGGCCTCACCTGCTTTTTGTCCTCACAGCGACTGCCCCTTCTCCGTTCAAACAGCTCGGCGGCCACTTGCCCCCTGCTGCCCACCTGCTGGGTCACCATGGCCTCAGGTTAGGCTGCCTGCGTGGAACAAGGTGCCCCCCCACGACCGGCAGATGGGCACCCTCTCCCCTCCCTGGCCTCTGGTCACTAGGCCTCCCCTGCAGCAATGTGCTCTGATGTCACAGAAGGTGGGGGACAGCGAGGCCCCCACTTTGTCACCACCCTGATTTTTAGCCCCATCCCTCAGGTCTTTTTCATATAAATGTAAAAAATCCAAGACCAGAAAGAAATGCATCAAAAGATTATGTTTCATGATGATGATTTTTCTGATCTTTTTCCTTCTATCTTTTCAAGTTTTTAATAAAATGTGAGTTTTTAAATACAAAATAATGAAAGATATTTTAATTGAAACCTTTACTGAGATAATTGTAGATTCACACGCAGTAGGAAGAAATAATACAGGAGATCCAGTGTACCCTATACCTGGTTTCCCCTGATGGTACCATCTTGCATGACTTGTACAATACCACACCCAGAATATTGCCATTGATACAATCTATCAGTCTTACTCACGTCTCTCCAGTTTTACTGGCACTTATTTGTGTGTATATTTAATTCTAAATAATTCTGTCACATGGGTAAGTTTGTGTCTCCACCTCTACAGTCAAGATACAGAATTCCCAAAGCAGAGGACCCTGGTGTTGCCCATTGATGCCTGCTGCCCTCCCTCTGCCCCCTCCCCAACTGTCCCCAACTCCTGGCAACCACTAATCTGCTCTCCATTTCTAAAATTTTATCTTTTCAAAAATGTCATATCAATAGAATCAAATAGTATGTGACCTTTGGAGACTGGCTTTTTTTTAATTCCCTGGAGATTCATCCAGATTGTTGCATACATCAGTAGTTGGTTCCTCTTTATTGCTGTGTAGTATTCCACGGCATGCATGAACCAGAGTTTGTTTAACCATTCACCCACTAAAGGACATCTGGCTGTTTCCAGTTTTCGGCTCTTATGAATAAAGCTGATATGGACATTCTTGTATAGGTTTTTGTGTGAACCTGTTTTCATTTCTCTGGGATGCCTGAGGGCAATTGCTGGGTTATATGGTAATTGCTGATAGGTTTGTAAGAAACTGTCGGACTGTTTTCCAGAATGCTGTACCAATTTACATTCCCATCAACAATATCTGAGTGATTCAGTTTCTCCTCATCCTCATCGACATTTGGTGTTTTCATTTTAGACATTTTGGTAGGTGTATAGTGATATGTCATTGAGGTTTCATTTGCATTTCCCCGATAGCTAATGATGTTGAACATTTTTTCTGGGCTTATTTGGCACCTGTACCTCCTCTTCAGTGAAATGTCTGTTCGTATCCTCTGCCCATTTTCTAACTGGTTTGGTTTCTTTACAGTTGAGTGTTGAGAGTCCTTTATATATCCTTTGCTGGATATATGCTTTGTAAATATTTTCTCTCAGTCTGTAGCTTATCTCTTCATCCTCTGCATGTGGACTTTTGCAGAGAAAAAGTTTTTAATTTTGATGAGGTCCAATTTATGAATTTTTTCTTTTATGAATCGTGTTTTTAATGTCAAGTCTAAGAACTCTTTGCCTAGCCCTAGAAACAGAAAGTTGTCTCCTACTTTTTAAGGTTTCATAGTTATATGCTTTACAATTTAGTCCATGATCCGCTTGGAGTTAATTTTTGATTAAGATGTGAGGTTTGGATCAAGGTTCATTTTTCTCGCCTGTGGATGTCCAATTGCTCCAACACCATCTGTTGAAAACGCTGTGCTTCCTCCTTTGAATTGCTTTCGCAGCTTTGTCAAAGTCAATTGAGCATATTTGTGTGGGTGTGTTTCTGGGTTCTCTATTCTGTTTTATCTGTCTGTGTATTTACCCCTGCATGAGGCCACACGGTCTTGATTACCGTAGCTGCAGAGGAAGCCTTACTGTTGAGTACAGCGATTTCGCCCACTTTGTTCTTCTTTGTCAAGATTATTTCGGCGCTTCTAGGGCCTCTTCCTTTCCATATAGACTTTAGAATAATCTTGTCTCTGTCTACAAAAAAACCTTGCTGGCTGGGATTTTGATAGGAATTACACTGAACCTATAGATCATTTTGCGAGAACTGAAATCCCTACCACGCTGTGCCTTCCAGTCCGTGAACACGGTATGCCCCTCCATTTATTTTGGTCTTTGTTTTCTTTTATCAGCGTTTAGTAATTTTCAGCATACAGATCCTGTACGCGTTTTGTTAAGTGTATACTTAAAAATTTCATTTTCTTTGGACTTTGTCATATTTTAAAAGCCCCATCTACTAAACAAATTCATGTGTTAAGAAATCAATAATTTTCCACAATTTTATGAGTTACCTTTCCCAAAGTTATGCATACACAGCTTCTGATTAGCACCCAGATAACCTTTATTTATTGAGCACCTACTCTATGCCAGGCATTTTATTACATCTTCTCCAGGCTAGAATTCTGTAAGCAGTTGGGGATTGAATCTGTTTTACGAGCCATTGTGTCTCTAATGCCCATTATGCGGCCTATTACATGCTAAACGTTTGGTAGAAATATTTGTTGAATGGATGAATAATGAGCAGCTTCAAACTGTGGGTTCTGAGAGGCCATGACCTTGGTCTGGTGAATATATTTTTGTATTAATAGTCTTTGGCTCAGTAAATATTTGTTGAATGAGTAAAGCAGGTGGTATGATTTTAATTTTACCAATGCAGAAGCCGAGGCCCAGGGAGGCTAAGGAAGGATATTAGCCAGAGTGGCTGTCACGTCCTGAGGATCTCCTCTCTCTCGGATCCCATGCTCAGTGCTTTCCATGCGTTAGCTCGTTTCATCCTCATAACGCCCTGCAAGGTTGGGCTGTCAGTCTCTCTGTCTGGATGTTACTCTCCTTATTCAAGGTCACACACCCTGCCAGGGGTCTGAGTGCAGGTCTATTTAACTCCAACATCTTTGAGTTTACCCTAAGGGGTTAATGTCAGTTCAGCCAAAAGCAAAGTTAGTTCCCATTCTTGTTATCTTTTGTGGCTTTACGGTGGGTAAATCGATGTGGGATTCCCATCAAACTTTTTGAAACATCAGAAGTAGCCGTGTCCCCCCTCCCTCTCCAGCTCCGTGACTGCCCCAGCTGGGCACCGGGGATTTCCTACAGCCTCCACTCCTCCTTCCCTCACCTGCATCTGTTAAAAAACAAAACTCAGCCGAGACAATTTGAAGATTTAATTGGCTTTATTAGGCGATTCATGAATCGGGCAGCACCTCATCTAGCAAGCAGAGATACTCCCAGGGGTTGTACAAAATGGAAGGTTTCTATAGGAAAGAGGGTGGGCCAAGGAAGTCATTAGCAAGAGAAAAGAAAGGGTTATTTTGGGCCAGGCCCTCTCCTTTTTTGGGGAGAAAGGAACTGACATGGGCTTTATCATGCAGATTATCTCACTAGTGAAACTCAGGAAATTTCAGATCAACTGTTTTAAAGGTCACATTCCTGGGAGGGGCTGAAGCTGTAGTAACGTCTTGGTTTGCTGTCGTGGGGGCCATTTTTGGCCTATTTCTTTTTTTATACAATTTCCTTATTATTATTATCATTCACAGCTAAGGTATTTCAAGAAATGACTGAGTACCAAGCGCTGTGTGAAGTGCTTTACATGTATCACCTCACTGTATTATTACAGCTCTAGGTGGCAAATAATATTATTATCCCCATTTTACAGAAGAAGAGACCGACCGAGGCTCACAGTGGTTAAGTCACTTCCTCCAAGTTACAGAGCTAGTGAGAGGCAGAGCTGAGATCTGAACTCCAGGGCTGATTCCAGCACCCAGGCGCTTGACTGCCATGAGACACTGCCTTTTCCACGGGAAAACTCAGGACCAGAAAAGGAAAGGGCACTACCCCAGCCAGTTGGAGGAAAGAGACCAGATCGCAAGTCTCTTGCTCCCACATGGGGGCTCCTCAAACGGCCGTTCGCGTCGTCTTGATGGTCTTGCACCTCCTGGCCTCTTGAGCTTTACCTCGGGGAAACGTTTCAAATGTCAAATGCAGATACTCAAGGCCTGCCCATTAAACTAATTGTGGCCCATTGAAAGTAATGAATTACAGTCAGGGACAGAGAAGAAACATTTTCTGGGAAACCCAATGAATTCTTCCAGGAAACTGCTCTGAAGCGCAGTGATGAGGCAGGGGGCTTCTGGGATTCGCTCTGAGGACCGTTCCCTGGGGATTCGGCGTCAGGGCAGGGAGGAGAGGGGAGCAGAGTGCCTTGCCCGGCCCTCAGAGCGCATGCCCAGAAGCTGGTGCGGGCTGGGCCTGGAGGAAGGGCTGCACTGGGCCGGGCGCTCCCAGCACCCCCGCCAGCGCTCCCACTTCCCCGTAAAGGAAAAGGGAGGGGATGAGAAAGGAGGGAGGGGCCGTGGACCAGGGAAGTAGGCTTCCGGAGTGAATGTGGGAATGAATGGGGGAGGGAGGGAGCGAATGGAAAATGTGTGAATGAATAGAGTTCCAGGCAAATAACTAATCGAAAAATTACACCCTGCCAAGGGAGATGTCTGCCCCACCCCTAAGGAGCGCTCTGCTGAGTCCTGTGTCCCAGACACATCTGGGTTCAAATCCTGTGTCACTGTGTTTCTGAGTCTCAGTTATCTGAAAAATGAGGCCAATAATAATGTATGTCTTGTGGGGTCATTGGGAGGGCCAGTTGGAAGGAACTGACAGGATAGTGCCTGGTTCAGAGTAGGAACCTCAGTTAGTCCCCCTCCCTCTCGCCCTCCATCTCTTGCCTTTCCCGTCCCCCCTCCTATTCTCTTCTCCAAATATTTATTGACAAGCTGCCTTTGTGCCAACTCAATGCAATAGTTTCTTCCAGTAATTTAAGAATGTAAAGACTTTATATGAAAAGTCTATCCAGAAAACTGATACAAATGATGTACTAGGCAAGCATGGATAGGAGTGGGTGGGGACTCATGGGGTATGAAGGAAGGGGACAGGACGGCTTCATAAAGGAGGAGGCATCTTTGGCTAGCTGGAGGGGAGAAGACAGGATATCTGGGGAGACTGAGCCTCATGGGCAAAGACCTCC